GACGGGTGCTCGGCGGTGACCTGCTACGCGCTGCGCGAGGCCGCCGAGTTCGCCAAGCTCTGGGTGCCCTTCTGCAAGAAGCACAGCGTCAAGGTCAGGGCCCCCTTCGTGTACTTCTCCTCCGGCGGCGCGGCGGAGCGTGGTGGGGCCGCCGACGACGCCAAGTTCTTGCGCGCTTGGACACTCGTGAAGGTAAAGCTAAAGCTAGCTACTGTTTTTTTTTCTGCAGTCACTAACATCGTGTTGCATGTAGAACGCGTATGAGGAGTTGGTCCGCCGGATTGAGAACGCCGAAGAGGACTCTCTAGTCCGGCACGGCGACGGCTTGTTCGCCGAGTTCGTGGGCGCTGAGCGCAGGAACCACCCGACCATAATCAAGGTAGAAACCAACTGATCACGCCTCATCATGGCAAAATACTACACTCGTGAAACGAGTGCCCATCTCATTGCTTTGTTTTCTTGCTAACAAACATGGACACGTTCTTCTGCTGCCGCGAGTGTTCAGGTCCTGTGGGACAACAGCAGCAAGATCAACAGCAAGAGCAAGAGCAATCAGGAGGCAGACGATGCAATCCCAAGCCTCATATATGTCTCCAGGGAAAAGAGACCCACACAGCACCATCACTTCAAGGCCGGGGCCATGAACGTCCTGGTACGTCGTCGTCGGTGTTTAGTCCCATCTAACGGCAGTCCAGTAGCAAGAATTACAGGAAGTTCAGGCTCTCTAGAGGCGTGCCGCATATTGCCATCCATGGGTGGCAACGCCATGCATGGCATGGCATCATCAGGATAAGCTCACTAACGAGTGATTGAGTGGTGAGGCCGGTGTCTCCAGAACCTGAACATTCGTCCCTTGTGGCATGTGGCCTGTGCTGTGCAGACGAGGGTGTCCGCGGTGGTGACCAACGCTCCCATCATGCTGAACGTGGACTGCGACATGTTCGCGAACAACCCGCAGGTGGCCCTCCACGCCATGTGCCTCCTCCTCGGATTCGACGACGAGCTCCACAGCGGCTTCGTTCAGGCGCCGCAGAAGTTCTACGCCGGCCTCAAGGACGATCCTTTCGGCAACCAGATGCAGGTTATATACGAGGTACTACAGTCGTACAGATCACACTATCATTATCATATGATGAGTAGTAGTGCTCGATCACTAAGAGTAACACTGTAGTGTTTGTTATTATTATTATATATATAAGTACTACTCAAAACAACAAGCGATTGACGTTATTAGCTTATCTATATCCACAATTTTGTCGTCTGTGCTGTGAGCTTACGTAGAAAGTTGGGCTTGGAGTTGCCGGACTTCAAGGCATATTTTACGGCGGGACAGGGTGCTTTCACCGTAGGAAAGTCATCTACGGCGTGCCACCAGACTCCACCACCACCATCGGCATCAAAGGTGAAAATATCGGGGGAAAACCTGTCGAAAACCATGACTGCTCCCCGGTGTATTCTGATTCAGTTCCACGCATTTAACTACTACATACTCTGGCAGATTCACCATCTTACAAGGAGCTGCAGAAGAAGTTTGGTAGCTCGAAAGAGCTGATCGAGTCGGCGAGGAGCATCATTTCTGGGGACATGTTCAAGGCGCCAATGGTGGTGGCAGACGACCTAACGAGTCGCGTCGAATTGGCGAAACAAGTTTCTGTCTGCACCTACGAGGCTGGCACGAGATGGGGTCAGGAGGTATCCATACATTCTACTACTGATGTCCTTCACTTCACAGCATCTTCTTCCAGGTTTTGCTGCAACAGCGTGGTCATACATGCATGTTCTTTCCATTGCAGGTTGGCTGGGTGTACGGGTCGATGACCGAGGACATCCTGACCGGGCAGCGAATCCACGCCGCCGGCTGGAGGACGGCGTTGTTGAACCCCGACCCGCCGGCATTCCTCGGCGGCGCGCCCACCGGCGGACCGGGCAGCCTCACCCAGTACAAGAGGTGGGCCACGGGCCTGCTGGAGATACTCCTCAGCCGCCATAACCCATTCCTTCTCGCCGCGTTCAAGCACCTCGATTTCCGGCAGTGCGTCGCCTACCTATTCATCGACGTGTGGGCCATCAGGGCACCCTTTGAGCTGTGCTACGCGTTGCTCGGACCTTACTGCATCATCGCAAACCACTCCTTCCTGCCAAAGGTACGGTAAAATCGATCTTTCTACCATCAGTACAATGTACAATTTATTTCTGGTGAAGCCTTCCCTGGAATTCTCATCTTGTTGTGAATTGTGAATTGTGATGCAGGCGTCAGAGCCGGGTTTCGTCATCCCGCTGGCGCTGTTCCTGGCGTACAACGCGTACAACCTGGGCGAGTATATGGACTGCCGGCTGTCGGTGCGCGCCTGGTGGAACAACCACAGGATGCAGCGGATCGTGTCGTCCTCCGCCTGGCTGCTCGCGTTCCTCACCGTGGTCCTCAAGACGCTGGGCCTGTCGGAGACGGTGTTCGAGGTGACACGCAAGGAGAAGTCCGACGGCGGCGCGGACGACGACGCCGACCCGGGGCGGTTCACCTTTGATTCGTCGCCGGTGTTCGTCCCGCCGACAGCGCTCACGATGCTGAGCATCGTCGCCGTCGCCGTGGGAACGTGGAGGTTGCTGGTCGCCGGTGCGGGGGAAGACGTGCCCACCGGTGGCCCGGGCGTCGGGGAGCTCGTGTGCTGCGGTTGGCTGGTGCTCTGCTTCTGGCCGTTCGTGAGGGGGCTCGTCAGCAGGGGAAGCTACGGCATCCCCTGGAGCGTCAGGCTCAAGGCTGCCCTGCTCGTGGCCGCGTTCGTGCACTTGTCCACACGGAAGTAACTTTCACCGGCGTCAGAATATGCAATGGTCGATGTGACGGGAATCAATTAATCATCTAGGAAACACGTACAAATCTCATTAGATCCTTATTAATACGTCAATACCCACTTATGGGCTCTTTCAAAGGCGATCGGCATCTGGCTAGCCTCATCGCCGCCCTAAACCTTCGAACCAGTCTGCGATTTCGTGATCCCTACTGCTACGACTACGGGCGGATATTGGGATAATTGAATAGTCTAGATTCTTGTACCACAAATTGTACTTCACTTTTACGACCGTTGTATTCTCCCTGTACATGACTATATATATATATATATATATATATGAAAGGCACCCTCACGACAAGTGTGTGATCAGGGTTCAAAATTTCGGCGAAATTCGGTAATTTCGGTGGTGGCCGAAAGAAGACTTCGAAATTTTTTAATACACTAATACATGTGCTATATAACTCTAATCTTATATTTTTCTATTGTTTATATTGTATATTCTTCTATTTAATAGATATGTAGTCATAAATTATACTAATATTTGTCTAGATCTAAATTTTTTTAGAAAAAATATACTTCATGTGCTAATCTCTAAAAAAATTCGGCATAATTTCGGTCTAATTTTACGAAATTCGGTAATTTCAGAGGTGGCCGAAATTTTGGCGATACCGAAATTAAAAACCTTGTGTGTGATGACTGATGATTCCTCCGGTACCTTTCTATAGTAAAGTAAACGGAAAATCAAAAGCTGCCTGGCGGCAAGCTGTCCGGCCGGTGCGGGAGCTCCCAGCAGTCTGGCACTGAGCAACAGAAGCACCAAGCCCTGTAGAGCTGTAAGATCGTGATCGGCACCACCAGCCACCGCAGATCTGCACGTCCTTGGAGACAAACGGGGCACTAGAGCCTCACTATCGCCGTCCTTGCTGGGTGCTTGGGCTTCCTCTGCGCGCTCGTGAGTGGCGACGAAGGCGGGGTGTGGGAGGGACGGACGGACTGTGGCGCTATGGACGAGGGTCGCCATGAAACGCCTCTCGAGCTGAGAAGCAGCCTGTTCGCTTGCTCGTAAACGATCGTAAATTTCCAGCCGGGAATAGTATTTTTCTCTCACACCAAACCAGCCAGCAGTAAATAATCTACGATACGATACGGTCTGCCGAACAGGCTGAAGGAAACGACGAATTGAAGACGATGGGTGCGGGGTGCCGTGCTGGACTATCCGGGTCCCGTGCTACCTGATTACGCAAGGATGGGAGGGGTATCCGTTTTGTATACTAAGGTATCTGATTATTACATGGGATGTGATTGTGGCTGACGTGGAAACAAACACGATTTAAACCATACCCTTAAAGAACACGATTTAAACCAAACATTTAACAGCATAAAATGGATTATGTTACATCTTTGGTATTCATCATTTTTCAGCTGAAATCATTTGGTGTTTTTAAATCTTGTTAGAACTTGTTATTTTTTTAAATTTGAAATTTTGAATTGCTCAAACTTTGTTAAATGAAAAGAATGACCAAATCAACACGTTACTTGACAGGGCATGCTTTTAGAAAATTTTAGGAAAAAATCATCACATTTGGAGTTAGTATTTGGAAGAAAGACTAGTTACAAATTTTACCTAGAGATTAAAAAGAAAAATCACAACTGTTCATGATGATCAATGATGAACAAGCATGATTTGTAGGGGCGGCTGGTGATTGAGGCGCCCCTACAAATCGCAACACTGGGGGCGGCTGGTGAGTGAGCCGCCCCTACAAATCGGCCCATTTGTAGGGGCGGCTCGTATCATCAGCCGCCCCTACTGTGCTATTTGTAGGGGCGGCTGGTATCGTGGGTTCCGAGCATGCCCACTGTAGGGACAGCTCCATCACCAGCCGACCCTAAAAAAATTTGTCCCGTTGCTACAATTTTTTTTAGTAGTAGTGAAATAAGTGAATGAAACTATGCAATGATAATGATGGTTTAACTCTTCGCTGAGAATATCCTAAAACAAAGGAAAAATAAATTAACAATGTTGGAGATTATACAATGTACTGCATTGTGCCAGGCGAAGCTAGACACTGCACCTTGGCTTCGAGCGTGTGTCGTCTATATATACCCGTACCAATTGGCTCCGTATATGTTTTCTTGTGGTTCTCGCGTGCTACAGCTGAGTGGTGAGAGTGACCAAGCGTCCCTCCGTCCGGCTCGGTCCGCGCGGCCATGGCGAGCGCTAAGACGAAGCTGCAGCTGCAGGAGAGGGTCCGGCTCCCCCGCACGGCGTGGAAGCTGGCTGACCTCGCCGTTCTCTTCCTGCTCCTGGCCCTCCTCGCTCGCCGTGCGTCCTCGCTGGTGGCGGCGTGCTGCGCGGCGCCGGCGTGCACGTGGTGCTGGGTCGCCGCGCTCATCTGCGAGGCGTGGTTCACGGTGGTGTGGCTCATCAACATAAACGCCAAGTGGAACCCGGTCCGCTTCGACACGCACCCTGAACGCCTAGCCCAACGGTACGCTAAGTGGTGGCTAGCTAGTAGCTACACTAGGCTTCCAGGAAAACGTACGCTAGTACGTAGAATCATAGTACGTAGCTTTTTTTTTGCTTAGTCAACTCAATCTACTGCGTTGTTTGCCGTTAGGACGAGCGACGACGAGCTGCCGGCGGTGGACATGTTCGTGACGACGGCGGACCCGAAGCTGGAGCCGCCGCTGGTGACGGTGAACACGGTGCTGTCGCTGCTGGCGCTGGACTACCCAGCGGGCAAGCTGACGTGCTACGTCTCCGACGACGGATGCTCGGCGGTGACCTGCTACGCGCTGCGCGAGGCCGCCGAGTTCGCCAAGCTCTGGGTGCCCTTCTGCAAGAAGTACGGTGTCGGGGTCCGGGCCCCCTTCGTGTACTTCTCCTCCGGCGCTGCGGGAGCCACCGCCGACGCCGAGTTCTTGCGCGCTTGGACACTCATGAAGGTAAACCTGCTAGCTACTGTAAAAAAAAATTCCATGTAGTCAGTAACATCCGCCGTACACACTTATTACGTGCCAGTGTCTGATCGTGTTCTTGCATGTAGAAAGAGTACGAGGAGTTGGTCCGCCGGATCGAGAACGCCGAAGAGGACTCTCTAGTCCGGCGCGGCGACGCGAGTTCGCCGAATTCGTGGGTGCTGACCGCAGGAACCACCCGACCATAATCAAGGTAGAGACGAACTCATGGATTGAGCAGCCATGATGAAACGCGTGCCCATCTCGTTGCTTTGTTTTTTCTTGCTAACCGCGACCGCGAGTGTTCAGGTGCTCTGGGACAGCAGCAGCAAGAGCAAGAGCAATCAGGCTGCAGACGATGGAATCCCCAGCCTCATATACGTCTCGAGGGAGAAGAGCCCCACACAGCACCACCACTTCAAGGCCGGCGCCATGAACGTCCTGGTACGTACATCATCGGTGTTCACCGTCCGTAGTGTAACTGATGAGTGGAGGGGTGCCTCCTGAGCCTGAACATGCATTTCCCTGTGCACTGACTGAAGACGAGGGTGTCGGCGTATGTCCAGTCGGGTAATAGTCTTACGTCCAGTCGACGTGTAGCCTTTTGTATTGAATTGATTGATATGATTGTGTCTAAAGGGGGTGCACCGTATCTGTCTTTATATAGGGTTGAGGGTAAGGGCACGTATCTAGTCCTAGCCGATTACAATAGAAGAGTCATAGTCTTATTACAGAATTTAGCTTTCTTGGTAAGCCGACTAAGTTGATCTTGAATCGCTTGAAGACCACGCCACCTTGTTTCGTGTCCTTTAGCAGATCATGGGCTAGCCCAAGGCCCATCCGAGTGGTAAACCCTATGGGAAACCCCTAAGCCCCTGGTCCGTCAAGCCCCTGAGCGTGTCATGGTTGAACTTGGAAGCCTTCTTCTTCCTCCAGGTCTTACCGAGTAGAAACAAACGTTGTCCAAGTGCTTTCATAAGTGAAGCCATGGGGTGCTCTTGAAGTCTTCAAGTGATGTTCGCTTTTTAGAAAAACTGCACTCGATGAGTGTAGCCCCCGAGCCTCTCGTTGTTTGAAACAAAGAGTTAGTGGTCTAAAAGAAAAACATCCGTAGAGGATATGCATGCACCCTGCAGCCCCCGAGCCTATGACCGAGTACTTGTACTCGAGTCAAGGATCTTTTTAAAAAGAATATACTCGAGGATGCGAGTGTAAGCAATAATTGTAGTCCCGTCTGCATGTGAAAAACAGGTAAGACTTGTCAAAGTCACATGCAAAGCAGTTGCAGCTGGCTCAAAGATGTAGAGAATATTCGATCGAATATGCTATCAAAGATGCCACTGTTTGTACTGTTGCCTCACATGTGCTGAAATAAGGTTGTCCGGTGCACTGTAAAGGTGTAGTGGGGCGCACTGTAACCTTGTAATGCGGCATGTGAGCCTGTATCCAAGTCAGGAATTTGTCTGCGCCCGACCCCGTGAACATAGTCCATGTACACCACCGTGAAGCCTATAAAAACCCACCTGGCGAGCACTTAAACTTCAGTTATAGAAGCGAAGAAGTAGCTCTGAGTTTGTAGCTTGCAAATATGGTGGTGAGCGAAGTAGACCAGCCCCAGGGAGTACTCGGCTTGCGTAACCAACAGTTGCAGTGACTAGAAGAATTCTTGTGATATGGTTTCGAAGTAGGCTAGACCCGCAGTTGTGCACAGTAGAGTAGCCTAGAGCCGCAACTAGAAGAATCCTTGTGATGGCTGGTAGAGTGCCACATCCAGCAGTCCCATGTCAGTTCTTTGAGCGTGCTTGTCGATGTCTGTCCATGAAGGGTCACACTTGGACCCGAATGTGTACATATGGCGTTGGCTGGGTGGCAAGATGTGCCTAGAGCTCATCCTGCATACTAGCCAGCAAGCTGCCTCCTGCAATAGCTATGCTCCCAAGGGTAGTCGGGCAACAAATGTTCGTAGTCCGACTGACTACCCAAGGTTCTAGGCTTGGACACACTACACTTCTGTTATCTACCCGGATGCACTACTCTTCCGTCCATGAAGCCAGGTGTGCCGGGTAGGGAACACCTACAGAGAAGCACTTAGAGTATGAGTACTCTGTCATAGCTGAGTAGGCTTTGTACTTGTAATATTCTGAAAATTCTTGTATCCAATATATGTATTCGTGAATGAAAAAAACTTGAAGAAATCATCACCGTCTTGAATCCGCAATGCCTTGTTATGTGAACACTGTGAAACCGCGTGACCATCAGACCAAAACGGCAACTTGTACTGACGGTGTGAAACCGCATAGTCTGGAAGCCGAAGGGCCATCTAGGTCATGGCAGTAGGCCAGTAACGGCGTTGTATTGAGTCCACACTGTAGCGACAGAGAAGACTAAAGGTTTTAGCCGTACTTATAAATAACCCCTTGCGGTAACTGAGGGTGTCACCCCTTACACTCACGTCGCCGCCGCCAACATTCTCATCTTCCCTCACTCCACAAACCCTAGGCGCTGCTAGGTGAATGCGAGTGAAGAAATTAGTGAAGCGCGAGATGGTGAAGGCGAAGAAGACCGGCGCCACCAATCCTGGAAAAAAGGGAAGCTAGAAGCAGGCAAGTGAAGCTGCGGAAATGCAGATCTGGGAGGAGTCGACCGGGAGGGAGGCTGCTCTTGAGAAACTGCATAGTGATGGTCTGCTGCCAGAGAAACAACTTGGCGAGTGGAAAGCCCCCGGTAACCATCGTGTCCCTATTCTTAATGAGGAGGAGATAGTGCTATTTACTCCTTTCGTAGAGCGAGGACTTGGATTACCCACGTCCGATTTCTTCCGCAAATTGCTATATTACTATGGCATTCGCATGAACCACATGAACCCTAATTCCATCCTCCAATTGTCAATCTTCATTCATCTTTGTGAAGCTTTCCTTGGAATTCCTCCTTCTATCTGTCTTTTCCGCTATTTCTTCAAGCTGAAACCGCATCCAGACGCGGCCAACCCAGATGTAGTTGGTGGAGCAGGGTTCCAATTTAGGATAGGCCGAAAAACTGAATTTTTGACCAATACTCTTCGTGATTCCAACAAGAACCGGAAGAGTAAGTGGTTTTACTCTGGTAATGTACTGCCATCCTTAGAAACCCATGTGTAGAAACCCCTTGGGTCAATCCCTGTTGGGAGCCAGAAAACATGAGTCTGAAAGAATTTGAGGCCCTCCACCCCCATATTAAGCAAATTGTCGTGCTGCGTCGGAATGGCTTGACTGGAGAGGGTGTACAAGCTAGTTGGGTGCGACACCGAGTCCAACCCTTATAACAGAGGATGAACTACGGGTTCGAGTATGCTGGACCAGAAGACCCGACCCGAGTAACTAAAGAAGAACTATCAAATGCCGAGTTAATAGACCGTCTCCAACATATGTTTGCTCAGTTGAAAGTGCAGCCCCCCGCTCAGGACGAGTATGATGCTAGCCATCCGCCACCAGAAGTAAGTTGTCTTGTGATCAGTTGAATAGCCTTGTGTATATGAGACCGAGTAGAATAAATGATGTAACCTATTTCTGGTTGTAGCAACTTGGGAGGAATTTCATGTATCTCCCACATTACGACCACCGCCACCGACTAGGGGCGCAGGCCCTAGTGCTCATGGCGGCGCCGTGCCATCACCAGTAAGGGGAGGAGAGGAGTCGGATGACTCCGAGGCCACCCTGACGGATTACCTGCTACACTGAAGGCAAGCTGACGAAGGCGAGTAGAAGAGGGCGCAGAGTCCGAGTGTTGACTCGGAGGACACCATGCCCCTTCGGAGGAGGCCACGAGTAGCGGCGCGAAAGCAGAGTGAAAATACCGCTCAACAAGAAGGTAAGAGTCCTTTGAGCTTTCAGAGTGTTCTAGAAGAGTAGCAATTCTGTTGCTTATTCATGTATGCTGACAGAGGAAGCAGAGCCCGCCACCAGGGGGACGCTTGAAGCAGCATTAGAAGCGCACCCTGACATGGTGGCTCAAATCAAGAGCCAACTTCTGGAGATGCCAGAACTGAAGGATGACAGCATGTCTTTTGGAAGTGCACTCCCTCTTACGTCAAGGAGCTGCCCAGTCTTCGCAAGAGCACTGCAGAAACGTAAGTGTAATGACCGGGTAGATCTGTACTTCGATTCCTTACATAAATTTGAGTATCCACCATGAACCAGGTCTTCGAGCAAGGAGAAAACACCGCTTCGGCCTGAGGCGAATCCCGTATCCTCAACGGGAATAGAGGCGGGTACTCTTGAGGTGGATCCACCAACGACGGGGAACCCAGGCGTAGGCGGTCGGGGGCGTACTGTTTTTTTTTTTTTGAGCGCGGGATGTAGAGGGCTAGTGCGCGGGAAACTGCAGCGCGGGCGTCCAGGCGCGGGCCTCGGGCCGGACATCCGGACGCTAGTCGTCCCGTAAAAAAGTACCCATGTGCACATCCATTTACGGGAAGTTATATACTTTGTGTGAAGGAGTCCAGCCTTCCAGAAAAAGCGGCAGGAGTTCTAATCCAGCTAGGGAATACATATTGGTCGTCGGACGTCGCTCTCAGACGCATGGAGGAGGATGATGCCCCGTCCGCCCGTCACAGAGTATTGTGGCAAACAGACAAACAGCAAGGAGCGGCCAGTAACCGCCGGCCGGCCGGGCGCACCCAGCTAGGGATGAAAACAAAAATGATAATTTCTGATTTTTGAAAATTGTTTTCGAGTTTTTTTCCAATTTTCATGCCTAAACGAAAATGGTAGCGGTAATCGAAAAAACGAAAACGATAATGATAAAAATAATCGGAAACAGAAGCGAAAATGATTTTGCCCTCTTCTGACCGTTTTCGAAGATTGCCGTATTTAGCCGATAATTTACCGTCGGTACTTGCCGATTCAAAGACCTTGAATCATAATTTATTTATAGACTATATATGTACTTCCGTATACTTTAGGTCCAGTTGGCCCACATCTAAACATCTTATCTGTACAAGCAAGCACATA